GACACATAACGCCATCCCTGATAATGTAGGTTTGATTTAATAAAAGAATATAATGTGTGCATTCTACTACTACAAGCACAGTGGTATACTCTGGCTGTTACCGTCACCTGGTTGGTTTTACTACATCGGAATATTTTAACTTTTTTACCTACGCATGTCTTTACGTTTTAGAAATCAAATCAAAATCAGACATGAAAGTTCGTTTCTTCGCGTTTATTGGGAAGAGATGGGGTATCAGTTCTTTCTATCAATTAGATAGCACATTTCCGGAGCTATGTTTGTTACTAGAGCTACGCATGGGAAAATACGCCTGTCTCCTTAGTGGGAAACCGCCCACTGAATCATGTACACTGAATCAAAATTAAATTACTTTTTACCACCTAATTATTTTATATTACGCTATTTATAAGTGAATTTAGGCAATTGAAGTTATTGAAATTGTTCACAATTTTACATACTCTTTAATCACGAAATTAACAACCCGACTTCAAGCAACTGTATAAAAAGTGCTGCAATACCGAGGAATATACGAATATCTATGACACATAATTCATATTCATCTTTAATGACATAATAGAGTGGCCTCAAAAAACCCCGGAGTTACCAAGTCAAAGGAAAGTTAATGTCATAGGTGCAGGTATGTAAAATACTTCATAGCCCTAGGGACCGCAGTCTCAGCCAAGTAAAAGATGCCGTTTTTTGGTGGTTCGGGCACTGATTAGTTCTCTAGGGGTTAATTATCCCAGGTAATTAATGCATGTAATGCCGGTATCCGTGGTTGGTTTAAACGAAGAGGTGAACAGCGAAGAGACGGTCTTTTCATTGCTCAGTCGGTATGTGTGGATGGACGGATTGAAACAGGTAACTTTGAACAGTTTATCTTATTTCCTTCCTTAAATATCATTTATCGACTCATTTGTAGCGTTCTAGATATAACGTCTATTTGAATGGGGTAATTCTTACATTTGAAGGGTTTTAATCAACTTTCTTCAGATGCTGATGCTCCATTCAGATCAGTTAAATTTGTTTGAAAATCGATTTATCGTTCTGATTCAGATTTAAGGAAGTTTTAGATACTCTTTTCTATGTTCTGTGTATGCGGCGTATCCAGGTAGTCATGGATCACAGTCATTACTGATTTATAGCCACAACTGACTGATTTTGTATCATTTCAATGCGAGGGTAAGGCATATGCATCATGCATGTAAGATTTCTTTCCGTCTATAAATCTTTCTTTCAGTTCAGTCGGTTGGTTCTAATGGTGTTTTTCGTTGTTTGCAAACTATTCGAACCCATGGCGCGAGGAGATATACTTCTAACTGCATTCACAGCTATATTGTTGGTAAGAATTTTCTTTCTCGAGGAATGTGCTCGTTTATTTCGAATATGGTCAAACAGTGTGTTAATAGTTGGTGCTTGTGTGTGCGTGTTTATGGCAGTGTATATGTATATGGCACTGTTAAACATGGTAGATCTATTCTATCTGATTGCTTTATCCAGAAACTCTAGGTTTGAAATTCTGTGAATACATAAATAAGATTACGGTAACCATGTACGACAGACAACAACATTACGAAAACAATCACTGTATATATTTGATATGGGGATGACTGTGGCGGTGACTAGCGCTAATTGATGTATTGGGTGCTGCTGTTGGTGTGCGATACATTTTCACATTTTTATTTAAGCAAACCGTCTTTTTGTGCTTTTTGGTAGATCTGTAGAACTTAACTGCTTTTTCAACATAACCTTCACCCAAGCAATTTTACCTTTGCGTAGGATCAACACATGTTTAACACCATGCGAAAAGTGTAGGCCTACACTTTCCCCTGCTAGTTTATGTTTGTCTATTCATTCAAAATATTGGGAAAAAACTAAACCACATTCCTCTCCCTTTCTCTCTTTTATTTTATAATGAGGGATACGCTAAGCATCCTATGGATTTTAAGCAAATTTTCAGTAATACAAATTATGTTTGAGAGGTTTTGTGTCTCTGTTGCAACAGATGATGTGGACAAGTCGCGCCACGGAAGTCGATGTTGGAACCGCGTGTAAGGTAAGTTACAAAGGATTTACCTACAGTTTAATCATTTCATGTTTTATGTAGTAGCTTGACAATCCATGTACCTGTGCCTTTCCTTGCATAATGAATGTCGGCCTATCTGTCCCGCTTTTTTCAACTACTTGCCTTCGGTGCTTCCCTTCAGTATTTCCCACATCGATGTATGTATCAGCGCTAGCAGCGACACAATTGAATACCTCATGTCTTATTCCTTAGTATTCGTCTTTGTAGCTATGCCAAGCTGGGGCAGAAGTCATTGCACCGAGAGGTAAGTGATCAATTTTTTCATTTCTGTACTTTTTATAAGATTTTCATGTTAATATTCGCACTAGAGACGGTGCTTGACAGTTCTTGCATGATACGTGTTCTAGATTTAGCCTGAAATACGATACGATATTATTGTGCAAGAATTCAACCGGCTAAATTATCTTTTAAATTTTATGACGTCTCTCTTTCTCCCTCTCCCCCCGCCTCTCTCTCTCTCTCTCTCTCTCTCTCTGTGCGCGCGCCCACATTTTCGATACTTTCATAATGACGTTGAAGTAAAATATGTCAAGTAGATCGTTGTATAAATCAAAGAAATCGAAAATACAATGATCCCGCCTTACCCTAACCCCACAAAACATAAGAAGGATATGTATTTGTTTATGCTTGCAGCCTCGTTTTCCTGTTCACGCAATCCGGACGAGCTGGTAGTGTCAGTGACGGACAGCGAGGACGTGACCATCCGGGCCGTGTACGTGCAGGGAAAGCGATCCATAGAGAACTGCGTAGCCAAGGAAGGGAATGGCTCAATCTATAACCCGCATAAACTGGTCCTGAACGCTTCCTTTCAGAACGAGTGTGGCATCATGGTGAGGGTTTTTAACATTTTTAGTATTTTTTTAACTATCGTCACGGCATTAATTATCTATTTGAAATCTAGGGTGAATGTTCTATGTTATATAAATAGCGACTCTTGTACGACGGTTAACTCTTTTAAGTTAAATACTTTTTAAAAAATTGTATTAGGTGTAATAAATTACGTCTTCAGATGTGACAGCACAGGGGGCTAAACCTGCATTGCTTTAGTCCTTTTCTTTAACCAAGCTATACTGTTTCCACAGGGTGACGGCATGCCTGAAACCCCATACACAGTTACCGTCCTCGCGGTTCGCAGTCCGAAGATAGAGACATCGCACGACTACGCCTTTCTGCTCTCCTGTGAAACCGTGACAACCACACAGACCGTGATGAGGGAAGGAATGTCCATACAGAAGCTGTAAGTACTGCAAAGCACAAAGAATTGTATTTTGTGTAACAGCATTGTGTTTGGTGTGGCACCATTGCGTTTGGTGTGACTGAGTGGTGTAGAAGGCGGGTGTTTGCTGCGCAAGTGCGAGTGGATTTTTTTCGATGATTCAACTATTTTTTGGCAAATTCCTACTCCTCTACAAAAGAAAAAAATTGCTTTACTGGAGTATAAATAAAGCGGCCTGTGGAAGACGCTTAGGAGTAGTTTTCGTCCTCTCCCATTCAGCTCTTGATCAGTCTTCCTACACATTCATAAATTAAAATGATTATTTTAGGCAATATATCCAAGAGGCAGCTAATAAAATCTCAGAGCAGGTGAAGATGGATCTGGTTGACATGACAGTTAACGCAAGTGGTCTTCCCTTTGATGAGCCTGTCATCTCTTGTGTTATGGGAAGACCAGTGGCTATACGCATCACACTAACGCCCTCTGGTAGTAGGTATATTATTATGTTATATGGATAGTGGCGCCAATTGCCAAAATGATCACAAATTGAGCACATAAAATCCATTTTTTATTTATTGCCTCCATATTTCAGCTATCGGATTACAGATAATTACCCCGTTTTTCGTTAAAGATTATCCCGATCACCAACGTTCTCTTGAAAATATTTTTCGTTATTGCGTGCTTTTTGCAGATGCCAAAGGTATCCACCCCATCAGCTGCGTTATTGCCCCAAGTATCTCCAAGCGGTCATATCTACAGCTGCTTCAAAATAGGTAAACAATGCAGACATACATCGATCTCCCACTCATTACTCAATCACAGATATAACTAGGTTTAACAAAAGGGCAAGCCTCTTACATTAAANTCCACTTATCGTGTTATCGGTGCTGCAAATATGCTGAAAAAAGTGAAAAAACAGCATAACTTCCCTAAAAATGGCCCGATCATGCTGATTTTCGAACTTGACCTGCGTATTAGGAATATTCACCAGTTCTGTAAGTTTCAAGCCAAAAGAAAAAACGGTGTTCCACTTATCGTGTTATCGGTAAAAGTGCACGACGGCGACGACGGCAACGACAGACGCAGATGATGGCTATATGTACAGACACATCTGTGTCTGTACATAATAAAAAGATTGCATTTAAGGGTCCGTCTTCAGGGGTGAGGCTTAAAACCAATATAGGATAAACTGAGAATAGTGAATACGTTTTTTTTCTTTTTTTTGTGCCAGAGAGACGAACTTCCATTAAGTGAACAAGAGTCCAATATCAACAAATTGGTAATTGGTTTTTAATATAATGAAAGATGCTATTCATCTTCGTATTTTTACGGAGACTCCATTGTGTAGTTCATGTTTAGTTGTTCTAATGAGACATTTAATAAACACAGCTTATATCCAACTGTGACGTACGTTTTTGACTGGAGGGTGGGCAGTATTTCTGACAGCTTGTATTCTTGCATAAAGGGGAGTCGACATTGTCTTACCAGAACGAAGTTCACTTCTTCATTCTCTTTCATGTCCCATAAAAACTTCCTTTTCAAATAAGAGTTATCTAATATTACGCCAGACCGACACTGTTTAACAAAGTGATATAAAGCGATGGATAAACACAGAATACAAAAATACATAAGAATTGCAAATAATTTATTAAAATCTAACTTCTGTCAAGAAGTTTAAGCTTATTTGAATGAGAATATAAGTTACAACAAACAATCTAAAAAGACAACTCATTTTTTGGAAACCTAATAAAAAACTTTCATCAGAAGTCTTGCTTGATGCTTTTGTTTATTTTTTCTTCAGAAAAAAAAAACTTTCGTAAACTAAGGTAAATAACACTAAAACCTTAGACATCTTAAAGCTAGCTAAGAACATTGTTAAAAACTTCACACATGAACAATGGGATTTTGATCTAATTAATGAAACAGCCCATATATAACTTCACGATCTAAGACATCACTGAATGGGAGCGTCACATCCAATAAGCCGTCTTACATAGGTGGCGTATTGGTCTCCGTAAGTTTTCTGGCACAGGCCGAGAACATGAACTTTGACCTGATCTGACCAAGCGAGAACCTGTTTATGACAACGTTCAAAATGCTCTCTGTATTCATCCACGCTCTGGCCGGCCACTAATTGAAGCGCGTGCGGGTTTACGGCGCCAGGACTTATTTTGGCAAACATAACTTTCCTGGACGATTTCAAGATTTTCCCTAGTCCTGACATATCAAGGTGAGCCATGGCTTGCTGGACCTTGAAAAGAGAAAGGGTGGGATCGCTGAAAACTTTTAAAAGCGAAAGCAAATATAAAGGGCCTTTTCGTATATTAAATTTGGTAAAAATGTATACATGCTAACTTACTTTAACTTTTTATAAAACTTATTTTACTTTTTCCTTTTACAACAGCAATTCAAATATTTTATCTTTATGATCGGAAAAAAAATTTATGGCCCACTTCACTTTTTCAAAATAACGTTACCTCTGGGGCAGTGTACATTCGCCCCGTGCGACAGGAGGAAAATGTCCTCTGTAGCCCTCGCACCGACACCAGCGGGCCGCTGAACTTAAGGATACGTAAAGTGAGAAAGTTCAGACTCTCGTCCGTCAATGGCTTGGTGTCGGGGTGAAAAGTCAGAGTTTCCAGGTGGTCTGCCCCTGCCAATTCCGCCACCCCGTACTGGACCGTATTTGCTGTGGATGACGGCAAGAACATGTCAGCTGGCGTGGACATATCGTTTCGACGACACGGGAAGTGCGGTGGGTGGGCGTGTCTGCTTGATATTTGGAGCTAAAAGGGAAAAATACATCTTGGTGATCTGTTGAGTTATATATTATGAACACATATCACATGGATATCATGATGCCCTGTGTTAAAATGTATGGCAAGTGAGTTAACGTGTAGAATTGGTTTCGGAGTTACCTAAAACCGCTTGTCAAATAATGATTTTGTTTATTGTCAAAAATGGATATGTAATATCAAAGATAAAATGCATATAATATCATTGATTCAGCATCAAATTTCATTGGCAACATCAGTTAAAGGTATAACAACTCTTCATTTTGGCGGGAAAAGTGCTAAAAAACGGACTTTGATGGGGTAAATGAAAACTTTTTATAACGGTTAATGAATCCGTTCTGACATTCAAAGTTTGTCGCTCGATTTTTTAAGTGTAGTTTTTGTCTCTTATTACTGAGGTCTATTTTTGAGCCTCTCATACAAAGTCAATGGCAGATCATTCTGAAGCAAACCTTTCCAAACAGCCGTTGGACACGGTAAAGCGGCACGACAAATGTGGATGGAAACTTGTAAAATTAATTTTTTTATTATTCCTATTTCACAAGCAAACAGTTAATGAGAAAGAAATGGGTTTAAGGACAATAGGGCAATTTGGTTATATTCGCAGTCTAACTCGAAATTGATTGTTTAATAATTAATGGAAGATCAACGTCGATACGCGAAGGAATCGTTACAAAAATTACAGAAGGAAAAAAATCAATTTTTGTTGACTTATATTATGAAAGACGCTAGTCAATGGTTAATACAGTGTATATCAAAATAGAAATAAAGATATATAAATATATCTATTGCAAACTCGTAGGCATTGAGAATGACCACAAACTTGATGAAATACACGTATAAGTAAAACGTAAGAATTAATTGCAAAATTGAGATTTATTACATTAAAAAGCACCAATTGCAATACAAAACCTAAAAGAATTTGAACATGGGTTGTTTAGTTACGTACCGTGCATAGACTGCGTTCACATGAAAAATCTATTTTCTAAAAATCTATTTGCGGTATCTTGTGATCACAGTCTGTGCCCTGAATACCCCACGGCGTAATTACGGGCAGCGCGAGCCAGTTACTTCCAAAGCTGTAATTAATTCTCGGCGCTGCCAGTAATTACGCCGCGGGGTATTCAGGGCACAGACCGTGATCACAAGATACCGCAAATAGATTTTTTTAGATTTATAGAAAATAGATTTTTCATGTGAACGCAACCTAAGATTAGCTACTGTACGAGTGTTGGTACCTTTAAGTATGTTGACTGATTAAGCATGTCTAGATACACACAATTATATTGTGTTACATCGAACAGATACCGGTACATTACCAATGTCTACAATGTTGTGAAATGATTTTATATAATAAAGAGTGAAAAAGAGTGAAATATGATATCAAATTTTTAATGATGTCAACAAAGAACCACATATCTGGGGTTTATGAATCTACTGCTAACTGGACAAATGGGATTGTCAATAAAAATGGGCTTGTCAATAAAAATATAAGATGCCCTCATCCATGGGGACTACATAGAATTAGCATCAATTGTTAAGTGATTGGTATTTTTAGTTTGTTTAATGTGTAGATGTTTTTATTGTATATATATTGTGGAAATATGAGCTACCCGATGATCTGTGGCATGAATTGAATGTCATTTCAATTCAAAATGGCTGCTTTATCCAATATGGCCACCAAAATTTCACCAAATTTTTCAATTAAGTCATGTATACTTTTATTTATAATTTCATTCAATCATGATAAAAGTAAACTGTTATCAAATGTAGGTTTTTTTAAATATAGATTCATTTTACTACCTATATTACAGTATGAAGTAAAAATCTTTCGGAATAAGAGTTACGTTTGAACTACTATTGCATTTATGTACACACACATTAATTGGCACAGAGCTCTTTTTTAAAAGATTAAAATGTTAGAGACCAAAAAAGAGCTTTTGTCAACAGAGGCAATATAGCAGCTTCTTCAGGAATTGAAGTATGGAAACAATTTTTTACTTGACTACCATTTTTAAAAACATGCTGGATATTATAGATAAATTTATTTGGTAAGTGGCTATATTTATGAGGATATATACATAATAAGAAATAATTCAACAGTTAAGTACTTAAAATTGTCTTATTTAATCCTAAAAGTACAGCTCAAGTCTTTTAATGTGGATATTAATGAAGACACAAAAGATGGAAAGACTCTGGATGCAATAATTGCGAGCATTTTCTCACTAACTAGATTTTTACTGAATGCCTTTGCATTAAGAAGTGATATTGTAGATGAAATAATTGTATTGTATTCATAATTGATTTCTGTTTGTACACATAAAATCTTGATTGTATATATCTTCTGTATTTGTACAGATTGTTATGTATTTTAGGTCAGAGGCCTGATAATTACAACGAATAAACTCATCATCATCAACTTATTCTACAATATCTCAAACAGATCCAAAAACATTGCTCAACCTGAATCACTTGTTTTGATGAAGAGAAGGAAGTTCTTGAATTCAGATTCTGTCCCATTTAACATACCAGCAAGTCATATAAACTTGTAGGACAGGCAAGAAACAAGATCAAGAGTCAGTACGTGTACCTCTACTACCAGTCCCAAACAGTCCAATCAGACAAAGAAAAGCACTTTGTAGTAAAGATGTGATTTTGTGTCTTATGCAGCATTGGTTAATAACAGTGTTCTCCCAACACAGACTGGTTTTTATGAGGATCTTACAGAAAAGAAGTTTCTATAATAAGCCTACAATTAGATACCAGCTAATATTCCAATTGTCACCCACAAACCCTGATGTAGTTCAAGAGTCTTTGGACTATTTTGTGCAGCTTACACAAAGCAAGGGACAAGAAAAAACTGAGAAAACGTGATCAAACAATCTACAGTGTACGACATCCTAGAAAAAATAAAAAAGAAACATGCCCATATAAGTATAATGATGAGGTTTCACAATGCAGAGAATATTCTATGGAAAGCATTGGTGACAATGGAAAACAGTGGAATGGAAGAATTGATTGTGTACGGAATAGCAAAAAGGATTTTGAGTGGAAAGGATTACTACAAGATTGGGGGGTCTACTCTGTTGCTGGAAAAGCTATGTTGGGGCTTAAGTGGAAAGCATTTGAAAGCTGGTTAGAAGAAAGGCATGAGGCTGAGGCCCGCACGGTGGACGAAGAAGATGGTGTTTTGGGGCATGTATATAGATGTCTTTTTATTAAAAAATAAAAATAAAATAAATAAATAAATAAATAAATAAATAAGGAAAGAGCTGTCTACTGGGATTTGCAGCTTGAGAAAGTCCAAAATATATGAACAGACTTGGCTATTGAGCAAACCTACAACAAAGAAGGTAAAACGTCCTTGCTGAAAAGTATCTTTCAAAACCAGGTAATCCATGGTCAGTACATTAGATCTGCCCTCTTGTTAACTAGGGTGACTGAGATGTGCAGTCAGTGGCTGGTATGAAGGAAGAAGCATTGGGGCATCAGAGAGGGTCAAGCACCTTTTCAAGAGAAGAACAACAACTGATTAAAAAGGTCAGAGAAACAATAGAAGAATTCTTGATTGACCCATTCACATGCTCAAACTGGATAACCTCTTCCACATTGCCACAAGAGAGAAAGCCCCATCAACAGATCTTGTTAAATTCAAGGAAAAAATTTAAGAAGTTCTGTAGCAAGCACAAAACCAAGATTTGCATAAAATTATGCCACCACATTCAGCACTTCTCATCCAAAAGGCAAATTTACGGGTCTGCTTAATCTGTATCAAGATGGAGTTTCAATTACAAGAGCTCTTTGCCTTTTCAAGAAACTGACTCCCAAAAATAACACTTCCATTTATGAAAGGGCGGTGTATCAACCATCCTTGTTTGAGGCAAGCCAGAAGCTCCTATAGGGACTAAGGGTTTTGCATGCTAAATGGGGAAAGAGTCCAATTACATATGCTAGCTTCTGAAGACTGTTTCCCTGAACCCACCTTAGACACTGCCACATTCTAATCTAAAATGAGTATACAGAGTGGATGCTATGGCCTTCATTCAGAGGTTTTAGCATCTTAGGGTCAGTACCACTAGTGATCTGTCTGAAGCACATATAATCCATTTTCTTGGCGACAGGAACTTTTTTCACAAGAAGAAAGCCAAATCAAAGAAAGTCTCTCGTACTTTCTGCGCCAAACATGGGTTCAAGGGAATACAATTAAACCGAACATGGTTTGTTGACCACCATCTTGGATGCAGTTGCCATCTTGGATTAAGATACCATCTGAAATTTGCCTCTATAAAAAATACACAATTGTCTGGGATACCATATTTTGTCAGATGAAAACCCACTTCATTAACATTTGAACTTTCAGTAGAATATGCCCCTTTGACTCATAATGGAAAGGGGCATATGGCAGCCATATTGCATTTTTCCTGATCATAAAAGCCTTCAGAGTGCATATAAACAATAAAATTTGGGTAATATTGTTAATAATCTATTTATCATAAATGCTTGCTTTTATCATGACTGAAAAAAATTTGGTAAAATTTGGGTTGCCATCTTGGATAAAGTAGTCATTTTGAATCAAGTAGACTTGCCAGTCATTTAAAACTCAAAATTAAAAATAATAATTGAAGTCAGAAATATTATAAAACATGGCCTCTAAGAGCAAGAGTGGCTCAAAACGTGATTAGTAAGTAAGACAAACTACTTTTTTGAGAAAAAAAAACAAATGGCCGGAAAATCCTGGATAAGGAGGGAAATGGCACAAAAGAAAAAGCATGTAACTGAAATAAATAATTAATTGACAAATTAAAGAACAGATGTGTATATTTTTAGGTTGGATATATTATCTAAATACATCTTGTTAATATATCTTCTACATTCCAAAACTTAAAGCCTTATATTTGAGCATTTCATACAGAATATACAATAAAATATGTAAAACAACATAAAACAAGCAAAATAATAAATTTTTGCTCTGTTACAAAGACAGCTCATCACTGGCCATGTTCCACTTTACCTTTTTTTAGTACACTTAGTAAAGTAAAATGAATTTGATGCGTGTCTGATAACCCTTAAAATACTGCTCACTGAACACGAACTAAAAATCCATTTTTGAAAAGACAGATTAATTCATATGATATCTACCTTACATTTGCCCTCTACCCAATTTCCCTTGAAATTCTTGGGACTGCGAATCCCTTACAAAAATTTCCTGTATTGGATGCCCTTATCAAAACAATGCTTTATAGGTGACAGTGTCCTAGGACCCATAAATAATGCAAACAAAGGGCTAACTATCTGCCGCGTGGATGGGTGAAGATACGCTTTGCTTCTGTTTTTCCAAAGCAACTCTTCTCCAGTGTGTGATGGTGGATTTGGGAATATTATATTTCTTAGCAACGTATATCATAGTATGGCCTTTTGCCTCTTGTAATATCATCTCTTTCTCTTTCTGGCTGTAGGAGCGGTAGTTGCCACGAGGAGGTCGGCGTTGCTGGAAGGCAGCCCTTGGCCCCTGCAAAGGTATCAACACCCTATATTGTTAATGTGGTACACAGGATATTGTGTTCATTGGCAGTATGTTTGACCCCATTCCCAGAGATTAGATCGATCCAAACTAGATCGACCTAACTCCCTGGGGGTTCACTCTAAATAGCTGTCAGCCGAGCGGGCACGAAAGTTAAATACCCCCTTACAGCTTGTAGTAGGCGGGACGGACATTAAAGTCGGATTATCTGACAGTTATCTAGAGAGACTCCCCATGGGGATAGATCGATCTAAAATCTATGGGAATACGCCCTAAGACCCCATTCCCAGAGATTAGATCGATCCAACTAGATCGACCTAACTTCCTTGGGGTTCACGCTAAATAGCTGTCAGCCGAGCTGGCACGAAAGTTAATTATCCCCTTACAGCTTGTAGTAGGCGGGACGGACATTTAAGCCGGATTATCTGACAGTAATCTAGTGAGACTCCCCACGGGGATAGATCGATCTAAAATCTATGGGAATGCACCCTTAGGTGACATTGTGTTAGGAGCAATGGGCTGTTGTAGGAGTAATAGTAAGGCTGTTCTAGAAAGTAAGATGTGGTAGCTAAAATAGATGTGATGGCGTGTTTGGTTTTGATTGTATTACGTGTGATGTAAGTTAAGTTTTGGTGGTGTTAGATGTGATAGTATTTTAGGTGAAATAACTGATGTGATTGCATACTAGTTGGAATTGCATTGGGTGTGGTGTTGTGCTTAACATTTAATTTTGGAGAGTGAAACAAGCCAAGGCAAGTATTAGCTGTGTGCTTAAAAAGGATAGTGTTAGTTGTAAAGTGACCAGAATACTAGTAAGTGTTATGTAAAGCCTGAATGCATTTCTGGTTTCCAGAAAGATGTCAAAACATTGATAAGCTTTGCGACAGTGCTGTCTGTGACTGTGGCATAGTTTTCAGTATGTTTGGTATGACAGTCTTTAAATCATATCAGTATGTTCTGAAGGCCAAAGCCTTAACAGAACAGTATGACAGAACATGTGAGAATGTGTTGAAATTTAATTCTTTATATATGAATATTCTGTATTTCATTGTTTTTTTATTTTTTGTATAGTTGCACATACTGACATAATAGGATAGTGGACAAGTGAAGTAGAATTGTGAATGGTGACATCATGCTTAAGCTACTATATGTGCTAAATAGATGAAATGTATAACAAGATAAGATTTAAGGTGAAGCACATACTGGCTCTTCTACTACCACTACTACTACACAAGAACTAATAGTCACAGCCAATTATTGTACTCCTAAAACACTGTCACACCTACACACTCCCTGTCAAACATTTCCCTACACTAAGTGAGCTTTGCTTTCATCTCAGCATTCAGGGCTTCTCTGTGATCACTGATCAGATCATGTTTGCTGACATTATCCTTTTTAAAGATGGCACATCCTTTGGTGAATGAATTGGTTTTGTTGTGCTTCTGACACAAAGTGCAGTACATCAGATTTTTGTCTTTATCGTAGTGGATCCAGTTATAGTCATAGGTCCAGGATTTCCTGAAGCAGCGGCTGCCTTGGGAATGAACCCTGCGGAATCTGGGCTGCTCTGCACTCAAAATGGCAGCACTGTTTGGGCGCTGTTTTGGATCCCAAATTATGGTGGTAACTGGTGTCCAGGTGGCTTGACCCGTGTGGGTGCTGAGGGGGACCGTCATCTTTAAAATTGATAAACAGATTGCATTATCTTTTTTGTTGCTTGGAGGATATGTCATATTATGTTGTTTTCTATCATATGAACTTTATGAATGACTGAATGTACAGAGTCACAAAATAGATATACCCCTAGATTACATTTTCAAAAAACTTGTTTATTTCATTTTTGTGTCTCAATCACAAAATATGTTTACCTTGGTAACAGTAACTGATATTATACAGTGAATCATATAACCTAAAGTAAGATAGGAATTATTACCTTAAAAATTATGAAATTGTTCTAGCACAGTTTTTTTATAAAGGTTCCTTAATTGTGTGTTGTTACAGTGATAACTTCAGGAAACATTGATTAGAGGGAGTAACATCAGTGATAGAATCTTTATGAGTCTTATTAACACAATATAATGAGAACTTGACAAAGCCATCATTGTCTCAAATCACGTGCTACTATGGATATACCAAAGTAGAGTTTTTTCATAAGATCATTTCCTAACTTGAAAAAAAGGGTGATTTCTTAATGTAAGGCAGCTATATGTTAATAACCTAATGCCAACTAAAATGTTAAATAGGAAATATTTCAACCTAATGGTAGATTACATACCCAACAAAAATTATTTGAAATTCTTCTCTGCCTCTGTTAAATATTTACGTAACTGACTGTCACACCCACCACAGCTAGCACAACTTTTAATATATTTATTCAACTATCACATTTTACTTATTTCTAAATATGACCCATTTGATACATTAAGTTTCTGAACTTAAAAAACTGTCACATATAATACAATTAAGTATTTGTACAATTTTATTATGTGACTTACTCTGCTATGCCATATCTGCATAAAAATTATATGCATATCCCTAAAGAGAATGTATTGCTCTTGTTGCGCAAAAAGGGTGCACAACTAACACACTTGCACAGCAGCATGTGTTACCTCAAGTGCACTGAGACTCTTGGCTGACAGCTTCTTTGTGATCTGATATCAGTTCATGCTTACTGGCATTGTCCTTCTTAATAGTTGTGCAGCCCTTTGTAAAGGCATTAATCTTGTTATGTTTCTGACACAAGGTACAAAACATCATTTCCCTTTGGGAATCGTATTGAATCCAGCCGAATTTAGCTCGCCATGACTCCTTGAACTCCCTCTTTTTGCTTTTTTTCAAATCTGAGTCCAGGTCATTTGGGGAAACAGGAATGAACGGGACATTTGAACTGCAGGTTGAAGCGATCTTCCACTGTTTCTCACCATCTTCATCTGGATCATGATGAAAAGTAGGAGTCTCTGCATTATATCTACTGTAGGGTGCAGCACGTGTGCTGTTATCAGAGCTGGTTTCGGGAGTCATCTTTGAAAGTGGTAAGACAAGTTTTAGACTAATTGTACAGGGGACAGATAAAGATAGATAAAGTTTGAAAATTGTGCTTGCAGTATGCATGATTTTTGTAAAAGTTTAGATTTCAGTCTAAAGCAATGATAAAGGTCTCAAAAGTTTATGTTCCACACAAAACCTCATCGATTAGAGTTTTAAACCCTTTACATTTTTTAAAGTACAAAGCATCAATTGCCAGTTTAACATTTCCATCAAATTAAACAACTGTCACACCTAACAAACTGTCATGTAAAATTTTTGCATATCATGTAATTTGAATAAACCTGATAATTGCCAGCTCACTTAGTAAGTCTGTAGCACAGATCATTAAATTATTCCAGTTGGTCACACCCGACTTTCCCTAACACAATCTAAGTCTCACCTAACACAATATATCAGATGTTTTCTGACATCTCAGCACCAGCAGCCTCCCTGTGATCAGTAATACAGTCATGCATGAATAAATCATACTTCCTAAAAATGCTCGTTCCCCGAGTAAATTTATTGGACTTGTTATGTTTCTGACACAGACTACAAAATAGTAAGTTCTTCTCCCTATCAAAACGGAGCCAACTGTACTCATAGGTCCAGGCTTGCTTGAAATAACGGTTTCCTTTGGTTGTACCAGCTGGTAATCTGATTCCACCTGCAACCTGCCTTGTCCACTTTATACCTTCATCTGTGGCACCACCTACAGTTTTCTGCAAATTCATAAATAAGCAACCCAAGCTGTTGGTAAAATATAAAGAAGTAAAATATGAAGTGTATTTTTTTTCTGCAAAAATAAGAATTCAAGCTTCTATGTAAGCTTTTTTGACATTCCAATTGCAACACTGTGCCCAATTTGACTTGAATATATCTGACACTTTCTCACTTAAAAAACAGAAATGTAAAACTGCCATTGCATGCCATGGTTATCTGCCACTGTATTATTCAACACTTGGACACGCATTAAAAGCTTCAACCGTCACACCTAACACAATCCACTAGTTTAATACTGACATTCAAATAAAACTGCTTTTCAAACTTGACCTGTATTTTTCAGTGTCATATATCATTCCAGTAAATTTGAGGCTAATCAGTCCAACAGTTTTCAATATATTGAAAAGTGCAGGGCAAAAACAGCAATGGAGGTAGTTCATTGCTGTATGCACAGACACACTGTGTCTACACTTAAAAACCTCCCACATTATCTTTTCATTAAGCATGGAATTGCATTCTGTCCGTAGTAATTTTTTACCACTTCTGTGAAACCAATCATCTGAAAAACATTCAGTAAGTCAGTCATTCATAAGTCTTCTCAGCCCAACAACACTTATATTTTCACTAGTAGAATAACAAAGCCCTTCTCAAAACCATGGGGTATGCTTAGGTAAAAGCTCATTTTGGAGGGGTTGGAGGTCAGCTACATGAAGGGGAAAAAACCCTAGAAACTCCCACGCATTCCCTACCCAAGCAACTGAATAGTTAAGGAACTTAAACTACTTCTTGTGGCTGTACACATTTTAACTTCTAATAAATCATAATTACTAATAAAACAATTGTACTGATAAAAAAATTAAAAGAAAGTCGAAGTCTCTGAGCAAAATAAAGGAAATCCTTTTTCTTAAAATGTCTGACAAAACAGTGAATGCATTGTGCAATACATAACTGCCAGGCAGCTTTTGCTTAGTAAGTTGTTTCTCAAGTCCCACTAACATCTAAATGACCAAAACAGAAAAAGAAATTGAATCATAATAGCTTTAAAATTTATGATAATTAAGGTCTTATGCCTCAGGAGACATGTGAGATGTGATAATCAAGACCTTGTCATAAATGAAATGTAATAGGTGTGATAGTAAAAACCTCATAGCACGGTTATATTGTCATAGGTGTGATTATAAAGATCTTGCATCACAGTTGAATTGTGGCAAGTGTGGCCAACACCTGGTGCATTTTGTCAG